AGGAGGACCCAATGCGGATTTGGCTGGGCCAGATGGCTGGGGAGGACCCTTCTGCGATGCCGCCGACGTTGCCGATGGCGTATGGCGGGGGTGACTTGGAGAAGAACGTGGTGGAGGACGTGAAGTGGGCGGTGGAGGCGGAGGTGCGGCATAAGCAGCCTTTGACCGTGTTTTGGGGTCTGCCTTCAGCTTCTCAGGCGGGGGACGAGGAGTTGATAGAGGAGGATTTGCAGGATGAGAAGGACCGGCGTGGACAGACGAAGTTGAACTTGCCACCGATGGAGTCGATTCGCGAGACGGTGCTGTTGAACTATTTGTGGAAAGAGTTGATTTCGGGCGGGAAGAGCGGAATGGACGGCGGCTTATCGTGTGTGGGTACGAAAGATCGTGGCCGGCGATTGTCCGCCCAATTTTGTGGCGGAGAAGCACATACTCTCATCGAGTTGATACTGCTGCTCACGGTTTATTGTGAGTACGAGCTGGTCGTCATGCATCTCCAGAGTGAAGATCTCATAAACCGTCACATGGCGTCATAAACCGTCACATGGCGAAATAGAATGTGGTCAGGATACGCGAAGTTTATTCAGGCTTCTTGCGAACGGACGGCGAAGCAGGACAAACCGAAATATGATTATCATCGTATCAGTTCCGCCTTTCTCGTCAACCAGTGTCATGTCGTGGCAAGTGGCGTGCCAGCAGCGCAGGACACGTACCGATGGTGGGGAGCCGAAGGTTAAGTAAGGGGTTGAAGGTAAAAACTACTTCTTCGTTTTGGGTGGTCTGTACTGGCCGACGACCAGGGCGTGATCTCGGTGGTAGGGTTCAAGGCTAAGTTGTTCGCGTGTTTTACAGTTGTCTTTTTTGAGGGCTTCGATTTCGGCAGCGAAGACGGCTTCGGGTTCTGCGGTAGAGTCCACGCAGTTGGCTTTGATGGAGATGATGAAGTGGCCTTCGTTTTTGAGGAAGTAGGAAGCGTTGAGAGCGACGATGCGCGATTGGTCAGGTTGTGCGACATCTGCGAAAATGACATCGACCATGGGCACGAGCATGCGGTAACGGAGCGGCATGCGCGCGTCCTCAACAATAGGTACAATGTTCGGTCTGCGTTTGGCCATGTTGGTCAAGTCACGACCGGAGCGATGGGAGAACTCCACGGCGTAGACTGCGCCTTCCGGCCCGACCATGTCCGATACATGTGAGACCGTAGTCCCGTTGGCCGCACCTAGGTAAAGCACCCGACTGCCCGGCTGGATCGGCATTTGTGAGACACCCCCGACAATCGCAGCACCCAACTTGGACCGGAATGGGTTCCATACGCGGTACTCCGTCTTCTCACCCAACTCCGACACCGTTTCCACCCTCTTCTCGCCGTACACAGACTCACCCGGTACCATGTTCCGTGTCACCAATCCGTCCGCCTTTCCCTTCGCCACAAACACACCACCAAACACTTTGTCCGCCGTCTTGAATGGCACCACCACCGTCTTCGCGCCTGCCTTCAGACCCACGCCCGCGGCTCCGCGACCGCCGCGACCTCCACGACCGCCACGACCACCGCCGCGAAACGAACCTCCACGGCCACCCGAGCCCGCACCACCACGCCCGCCGCCCCGGCCTCCGCCGCGTCCTCCACCGCGTCCTCCACCACGCCCTCTTGCTAAAACAAAACCATTTGCCACGCACAAGGAAACCAACGCAGAACAACATGGGAACACAAACCAACAGACTCGGTAGAAACGGAATCAACACGGCGGCCGTAACCTCTTTCTCGAGATGGGATGCCGGTGCCGGCACTAGGACCACCAAGCCAGAGGAACGTTTGTCTCAAGTTAGAGACAAGAAGGAAGTGTGTGCCTGCCTACTCATTGCGCCCCCTCTCATACTTTAAAAAATTTCGGTTGCTCCGGGCCCCGGGTAGAAGGGCGTCGGTGCACACAACGCGCGTCCGGGGGCCGAGCTTCGAAGCGGACGAGTCTCGGTGGGGACGAGTCTCACACCTGTTATGATAACTAAATATGTTGAGATCATACAGTCCCGTTAGCCCGTCTGCACGCTGCGGGCCTCGGACCGGCGGGCTGCAACTGCGGCTCGGCCCCGTGCGGGCATTCTCATGGAGACGCCTCCAATACGGGCACGGGCATCTGGATGGAGACACTTCCATGGGGTAGGGGGCCAGGACTGTAGTTTACGGAGTAGGAGGTCGCACTGGGTCATGACGTGGGGGAGCGGGTTGTAGGGTGCATGACTGCCGTAGATGTCTTGTACAAGCCTGAGAAGCTTGTGTCTGATGGCTCTGTTGATTTCAACGGTGAAGTTGAGGCCATGGGCCATGGTGGCGAGTAGGTCGGATAGTCGGTTGGCGAAGTTTGGGGAGAAGGGAGCGTGGCAGAGGGCGGCGAGGGAGTCGATGACCTCGCGGGTGAGGGTAACGTCGAAGTAGGGACAGACGGCGTGAAGCACGGGGAAGACGAGGTCGTGTGGTGGAGGAGAGGGTCCAGTGACGTAGAAGCGACCGCCAAGGCAGTGTCATGTCTACCGCGGGCGGGGCGGCCGAAAGCCCCAAGTGCGCAATCACACCGCTTAGCACCAGACGCCGAGCCGACTCCACACGCTCC